AGAAAAAAAAAAGAAAAGAAAGAGAGGAAAAAAAAAAATGGCCGCTCCCATTTCTTTGTTCTCCAGCGTCGGCCTCAGGCACCCGTTCACCAGTCCTGCCACCCTGTTTTCCTAGTATCCAGGACCCCACGCATGCACTGTGTCTGTACTCTGGTCCGGATGGCTGGGGCTGTGTGTTCAGCAGTCCTGGGCTCCTCCTTCCTCCCTGCTGACTCCTCTTCACCCGCCGGGAGCTGGGGGGAGGGGCGCTCAGGTCCCACCAGGCCAGAGCTTGTATCTTACCCCCTTCGCAAGGCGCTGGGTTCTCACAGGTGTGGATGTGGTCTGGATGTTGTCCTGTGTCCTCTGATCTCTATTTTAGGAAGAGTTGTCTTTGTTATATTTTCATAGATATATGTGGTTTTGGGAGGAGATTGCTGCTGCTCTACTCACGCCACCATCTTGGCCCCAAAAATCAAGACTTTTTCTTTTTACAAATATTTTTGTACAATTACAAATTATATAAATTTCAACTGAGGGACATTTTACAAAATTCCTAACAATTAATCCTCAAAACTATCATGATCAACAAAATCAAGGAAAGTCTAAGGAATTGTTACAATGAAGAGGAATCTAAGGAGACATGATGATTAAATGTTAATATGGGCTCCTGGATCAGAAAAGGGTAAACTAAGGAAATCTGGACAAAGTATAGATTTTAGTCAATAATAGTGTATCAATATTGGCTCAGTTATTCTAACAAGTATACCATGATAAAGTGAAATGTTAATAATAGGGAAAAACAGGTATATGGGAATTCTCTGTACTATCTTCACAATTTAAGTATAAAACTATTGTAATAAAGGAAAGTTATTAATAAAATAAATGATAGGATAGCCACAGAATGAATAGTGCTATGTGTGTTCAAGAAAGAATAAGGAAGCTCTCTCTGACCTGATAAGAAAAAGTCAAGATCACCAAAATCAAGGAAAGTCTAAGGAATTGTTACAATGAAGAGGAATCTAAGGAGTGAAAGATTTTTGAGTGAAAAAAGCAGATATATTTGCCTAAAGAAACTGCATGCACATACAAGTATCTAATAATAGGTCACCCAACAGGTAGAGTGGAAAAACAGGGTGGATGGAGAACAGGATGGAAAGAAAAATACACGCGCAAACACACACACACGAATTATGTGAATGGAATACTATTTGATTTTGTTAACTCCTGCCTATATAAGGTTTTCTATGAATAAGCAGTGGGATGCACCCCTGATAATGTGATTATATTGAGAAAAAGTGCGCTTTCCCAAATGATGACTCTTTCTATCCCCTGCATCTCTAAGGATTCCGTTAAAAAATAAGTGCAAAATGGTGCTTGCTTCAGCAGAACATACACTAAAATTGGAAGGATACAGAGATTAGCATTGCCCCTGTGCAAGGATGACATGCAAATTTGTGAAGCATTCTATAATTTTTTTAAAAAAGAAAAAAATAAGTACAATATGAAAACCCAATTGATGTGAGATTGCCAAAGTTGTATGAACCAAAACTCCTAAATGGCTTTGCATAAAAGATCATGCTACCCTTCCATAGTATCCTCGGGTTTCTTTTTTCTGTAAAGTGAGGGCAGGCCTAAATAAAAGTTTCTTTTTTGAAAAAAATCTTATATTGATTGAAAGAGAGATAATTTGTGGATAGAGAAAAAAAAGAGGGTGAGTGCAGAACAGCAGATTCATAAAAACTGATATGAAGAGCAAGTTATAAAAGTCTGTTGTTTTCAAAAAAGATTAACAAAGTCAAGGGCTGTTCTACCTCTAAGATATTTTTTCACTACTTCAAAGTAAATATATAAAAGGCACAGAATATTTTGAAATTGGAAGTTATTCATTTAAAAAAATACCTTCTGATTTGCACAACATGATTCATTTTAGCCTTTAATTCAAAGAGCTGTTTGAAAAAAAGAAAGAATAAGGAAGCTCTCTCTGAACTAATAAGAAAAAGCCTGCAGGATTTTAAAGAGAAAAAGCAGCTATATGTGCCTAAAGAAACTTGTATTTCCCTAAAGAAACCCTGCATGCACATACAAGTATCTAATAATAGATCATTCAACAGGGTAGAGTGGAAAAAACAGGGTGGATGGAGAACAGGATGGGAAGAAAAAATACACATTAGAAACATAATTCAAATGGAAAGATATTTAATGATATGAGCTTCACAATGACATCTTCAAATCAGATCCACCTTCTAACATTTGAGGGAGACCAGATGAGAACCATATATTGAAATCAACATCCCATATATCTAAATATTTTGAGGGTATAAATCAAGCTAACAAATCATTAAATAGTATTTAAATCCTTCTACTTTGACATCTTCATAACAACCTAAAAGATTAGATTTGAATTTAAATTTCTCAGACTCTTCAGATTCCCATACCAAAAATTAGCAAAAAGGAGGATTGCTGGCTTGTAGCCTCCAGCCCATGGTTTACCCATCCTTGTGAGGATAGAGGTGGGAAAGAAACCATGAATGTTGCTTGGACCATGTGAACCTGGAATTCCTCTCTTCAGGCTACTCCAGATGAGGTCTGGGAGAGGGCACAAATGTCTGATTGAGCATGTCTTCTTGGCAACATGAACCCATACCCCCCCTGGAGAGGGGCAGAGCTGAAGGAAAGCTAGAATAGGGCCCTCAAGGCTTAGGAACCTTTCTCATCCTGGTCTAAGGGTGATACTGCTCCAGATACTTCTTAGTGATCAGTCATCAGATGAAACAATAGAGAGTTAAGCATTCATTTTTATGGGTTGTTTGGAATATCATTTTGAAATGGATATTTTTTAATGTGATGATATTAATTTGAAAAGTAGAGAAAAATTAGAAGATGTAATGATTTGTTCTTGAGTATCATGCAACCTTGGGATTTTCTGAAATTCAAGGTCATATATAAAATAGAGTTGGTTGGTTTTTATTATTATTTAGTGCAGCTTTTACATGGTGTGTGATTCAAAAGATAATCTCTAGAGAGGAGGAATGAGGGTAGGGAGAATAGGGGAGGCTTTTACTCTTCAGTGGGGACCATTTTTAGCTATTGGATTTCTCATTTTTATCATGTAGATATATTGCATTTATATTAAATCAATGAAAAAACTAAAGATCTTCTAATAGTCCCTTAAGCCAATATAGAAATTTGAATGCTGAATTTAATTGCCAAGCATATGTCTTTTGATCCCCAGATGAAGCATTGCCAACACAACATATTAGGTGATGTGATAAATACAGAAACTCTATTTTTTCTAAATGGCAACCTTCACATTTGAAGCAAGCTGTCAGTAGCAAACAGCTTTGCTTGAGTTGCCTGGTTTAGCAGATGTCTTTGTTAGGAATGTGACAATTATCGCCGTTATTTATTTCACTGACTATCAAGTGGTACAGAGGGAAGCCAAGTCCTCATCAATAGTGCACGTGGTTAATTACATCATGCTATCTCCTCAGATGACTTATTCTTTGTTACTTGTTCTTAAAATTATCATAAAGAGATATATCTGACTGACTTTAAGCTGAATGAAGCTCAAAGTTAATACCAGCTGTCACATAAAACTATCCAGACTACACAGGAAAAAGGAAGGTTTTTTTTTTCCCCCAGCTACTTTATTTGCCTTTATTTGCTGTATATTAATATCAGGTAACACACACATAGCACTTACTCTGTACCAGCAAATGAATAAACACTTCACATACATTATCTTTTTAAACTATAATCAGAAACTCTCCTGATATTTGCACATAATCTTTTACCTGCTCTGTGCCTTCCTTTTAACATGTTATTATTTGTTATATTAGTCAATGACTTGTTTAGATATGATAAATATTATGAATTTTTGTCCTCTAAATAACACCTACTATAGAAGCACTATTATGAATGGAAATTTTTTATTTATAATAAAGATCAAACCATTGAAGAAAACAAGATAAAATTCTTGTTTCCCAAAATAAGCTGCATTTATTCTCAATTCTGTGCAACTCTTGCTATAGAATTGAACAATTCAATAAACAATAAAGGACCTACCATGGGGGAGTGCTTCATATTCATTGGGTTGGATACATAAGCAAATTAGACTGTCCTTCTCTTCTAAGTATTTTATTTGTTGGAGGAGAAAAACAAACAATTGGATGCCAAAATAGACTGTGGTAAATTCTGTGTTCCAAATATCAACCAAGTATTTAATAATGTGGGAAGGCTTTGTTCTGACTTCAGTGATGGAGAGAGAGCATTTTGGAGAAGAATGATTTGAACTGGGTCTTGAAGACAGCTATACCTACAAAACTAATCTGGAAGGAAGGGCACCTGACAATGGCAGTAGTTCAAGAAAAGGCAACTGAGCACAGGGCCTGTTTTGGAGGACTTGTCACAGACCAGGCTGCAAGAGTTGAGTGGAAGATAAGGTTAGAGTGATAAATTTGGACCAAATCATGTAGGGATTCAACTACGAAACAAAATTGGTAGGAAAGGGAAATATTTGAGGTCTAAGTGACATGCCCAGATCTGAATCTTTGGAAAATTACTCCAGCAATAGTGTTCAGGAAAGCCAATGCTTATAGTATTAATGGAGAGAGACAATTAAATGAACCAAGAAATTATTAAAATACAAAAGCATTTAACATATGAATAGCAAAGTTGATTTTTTTATTATCCCTCTAAATGGAGGAAAAACAAAATGAAAGCAGGGAAACTAGTTAGGAGGCCATGCAATGATCCATGCAAGAGTTAATGAGTTTCTGACCAACAGCAGTGAACAGAGAGAGATGAATGTGAAAGATAATGGTGGGAGGAGACGCCATTGGATTCCTTACCCAAGATCAAAAACAAAGGAGTGAAAACTGATGAGTTTAATTTAGATCAAAGTTTAAGGTGTCTACACTGCAGACATACTGAAACATTCTTTATATAGTCAGTGAACCCAGACCTGCAGCCTGTCTCACTGCATCACCCTCTGGATTATGGTAAGACTGGCTTGGACGTGGCACATCTGGAGCCCTCGAATGCAGGAACCACAGCAGACTGGGCTCACTGGCCCTTTGTACCCCAGATAGGGACACGGCCACAGTTTTCTGAAGTTCTAAAAGCAAATGTTGTTTTTTTAGAGACAAATACAGTGACTCCATTATATACACTCATCAAGATATTATGCAGAGTTTGGGATGTTGTAATCATCTAACTCAAAGAGGAATTGTTAGCCAGATGTTGAAAAATATATGTAAATGGGCTCTGGGAGTACATGCTATCTCTAAATCTTCCCGAAGAATATTGACCTAGTTCTAAAGCATTTATTTACACATTCTTTTCAATCTTTAAAGTAAACTCAGAATCCCTTTTTTGCATCACATAGGTTAGTCCAATATATACAAAATACCGATGAGTGTTGAAACTGTGTAATGGATATGAGGATTTATTAAACTTTTCTCTCCACTTTGTATATGCTTGAAATTTTCCATAATAAAAAATAAATAAAAAAGGTAAAAAGAAGAAGGTAATTCTCTTTATTGCACTTATATGGCTGGGAGTAATGAGAATGCTTTGCTTTTCTCTTCCCTGCTGACACACACTCTAATCTTTGAGGAGATGTCTACCCTTGTTCTCTTTACTCCAAAACAAATTAGAATATACTGGCACTGAGATTTAGATGGTTTAACATTGTTATTATTTCACATATTCCCTCACACGTCATAAAACTCTTCCAGGTACTGTTATTTCATTTACTTCTGTGGAAGCTCTGTCCTCATAGGTATCCTCCTAAAAAGTTGACCTCTCAAAAATCCATCCCAAAAGAAAATCAATTATGAATTAATCATTTATAAGCCAATCTTTAATGAACAACTAGTAAGTGCTATTATTCTAATGTTATTTTAAAATTCCATGACTAAATATTTTTGTAAGGAAAAAATAATACCCAATAGAAAGCCTTCATTCCACAATAAACGCTTATTAAGCACCCACTATCTGCAAAGTAGATATCAAGGTCTTGGCTGCACAGCATTCTGGTAACTTCTACATGGAAGCAAGAATAGGTGAAGACTAGTGAGGTGACAGAAGGGGAGCTTTTTAAAAATGTAGATCTTCAGGGTCTGCACACAGAACAGTTTAGGTCTGGGGTGGCCCCAGGAAGAGTTGAGAATCACTGGTCTAAATCATCAAGTTTAAGAGGGACCAGAGCAGACTCTAGTCTGATTGAAGCTGGCACAGCCAGCATGGAGTGTAATAGGTGGGTGTAAGACAGGCAGGGGATGTGTTTGAAGCTGCATCCTGGTGCCAGAAAGAATATGAAAACAGGGTGCAAGCCTAGAGAAAGGATTCAGCAGGATTTGGGCAAGTGGTCAGGACTCAGAGCTGACTGGGCTTAGTTTCAAGGCTGGGCTTTGGTCCTGGTGGAGAGTGGAATTTTTAGCAGGAACCTAGAAAGGACTGATTGTACATTGG